ATTTTTATTTGTTTATAACTATGTCTGTGGCTTTAACATATGGACCTTTGCCAAAAAAATATTTTTTTATAAACAAAATTTTGTTTTCAACCTTGAATTATATTGTTACAGGAAATGTCGTATTGTACTCGTAACAATAAAATATCTTCAATACATTTTTTAAATCACTGACCTTCACCGTTCCAGATTTACAACATGGCGTCAATATCACGTAAAACTAAAAACACACGAAGAAGTCTGGTGAGCTTACTTTAACGACAAGTCCTTTTACACAAAAAATCTTAGTAAACTTAGATTAATATATGCAAAGTATCGTAGCAATACAATTACACAATATAATGCTGTTTGTTTGTTCCTTAATCCTTCTCGTTATGTTGCTGGAAGCGAGTAGCAACTTAATATAACTCAATATAAATACAAACTATGATCTGTTTATTTAGCATAAGTTTGTGGTCAACGGAAACACACTAACTTTTTTAATCAACAAAACTTCGGAGATTATGTTCAAATAAGATAAGTATGAGCTTATAACGCGCGTTAGTTAAGGGGCCCCTTAAACCTACACTTGGGTCGCAAGTCCGAGGCACTGTTGAAGCTCCTCTCCCTGCAACGCGATGGACCCGGCACCCGCACGGTGAATCAATGGAATGCTGAGTAGTTTCGTCTCTGCGTCAGATAGGGCCCCTTAAACCTACACTTGGGTCGCAAGTCCCAGTCACAGCTAAAGCTCCTCTCCCTGCAACGCGATGGACCCGGCACTCGCACGGTGAATCCATTGAATGCTAAGAGGTTTCGTCTCTGGTGCAAATATCTAGTATCAGTGGTTGAGATAAAAATATTAGTTCAAGAGAACCAAACTGAAATAAAGTCTATCTAGACATTACAATAATAAATTTTCTTAATATACATTGTATTTCAGTTAATATAAATATTTTATTCTCTGAGTTAATCGACCTAGCAGCAACGGTACTTAATTAATGTTAATGACTACATTGACTTAGAGTTATAGGCACCAATATCGACCTAAATAAATTTTCTATGAAGTTTTCTCTTTAACTCAATAAAATATTTCTATTTATTATTATTCGTCGAAAAAGTTTTAGAAGTAACTAAAGTATAATTTATTTAGTAATCATCTAACTAGTTCAGTAACAAATTTGATTTAAAACATCTCATTTTCGTTCATTAATATATGCTTATATTGACATGAAAATAGTATCAATCCCTAAGTTCATACAAATATTGTCGTTTCAAATTACGTTAAAATTTCGATTAAAACACATATTACAGCAACTCTTTTTTTGTATTGTTAAATATATAGAATTTTACAGTGTTAGACCACAATAAGTATGTAGGTAGCTATTTTAGAGGTTAAATAAATATAACAAATAACAAAATCATATCTCCTTAAAATATCAGTTAATATCGTGGTGCTAACACATATTAGTTAGCAGTTAATAAAGCTAGTAACTAATAAGAATTCATTATATTTCTAATCTAGATTCAGAAAGCATCGCAATACTTCATAGTATATTGTGGGGCCAACATAAAAGGAAATATTTACAGCGCACAACTAATAATGGGCTAAAGACGATGAAATAGTATGTTTTTTTCTTTTGGAGAGAACCTTTATTAAAGATTCATTGAAGTCCCTATGATTGGTAACATTTTAATAAATAATCAAACAACTGGATGCTCTGACAAAAATTTGAGCTCCAATTCGTATTTATAATTAAGTTTATACATATGTATACATCTACTTATATCTATTTTAAAAGGAAAAGAAAAAAGAGTTTTATATGCAAACATTTCTAAAGTAACTGACCTTTGTTCTAAGTCCCTCACGAGAAGATAAAATATTTATACACTATAAGACCGTCTTAGACTTGCAAAAACTACTTTTCTAAATCCTGTATCTAAATATTCAGGCGTCTTTATGATACTTACAAAGAACTATAGATGTGAGGCATCAATAACTTCCATAGTAATAGATCAATGGGATCAATACATATTTTATAACCAGACTTTTTTTCATACCATTAAATAGTTAATAAATTCAAATTGGCCATAATCAATTGGGAATGAGTAGCAAAATCATTAACGTAAATTTACTCAATTTATTTTCTAGTCTTTGACACTGCCAGAAAAAATGAAATATGGCTTGTTTATTGAAGTTAATAAAGTAACTTCAAGCGGAAACTACATTCGTTGTTAACCTTACCGATGTTGGCAAGATTTCCTATTACCGCATTCTTCCAGTAACAACTTTACTATTTTCCGAACACGACTATTTGCTTTATGTTCGAAACTTTTTGAGAACAAAGTTCTTCAAAAGAGTTTAAACCTATTTTAGTATTTATTATTTTTATTTAAAGTTGAAAGTAGGTATATTTTCTTATGGCGTTAGGAATATTTGATAGATATGAAATATATTATGATAAAAATTACCTTGAAACGATTGTAAATATACTGATATACAGGGTGACTGGTGAATTACTATCGATACTTGAGGACGTGATATTTGACGATCATATATGACAAAATAAAAATTAATATAACAATAATATTAATAAACTTCTAAGTAAAGTTAACCAAAAGTTATGTAATAAATTACGCATCGTGTGAACACCCTACAGATTAGGTATACACACACACACATACACACGTCGGCGGCGTAGTGTTGTATCAGCACGCCACCATACGCGTCCACACTTGGAACATTTGGAACGTGTCCGCACTTTATTTATTTATACGGAAATTTGGTCAAAAATTAAGTACCTATTTTTTTTACATAATTCGAATGAGAATCATGTACCGAGTATGCTCCTTAAATATTGATAGTAATTCACCAGTCACCCTGTATATGCTTAGATATATTTTCACCCTCAGATCATCAACATGCTATTGAAAATAACCGGATCCTTAAAAAAATCGAGTCTTTTTAAAACCTGCGGTAAGCTGAGTGAGTGCAGACTAATTAGAAGCTCTATGTTATGCTTAAAATGCTATACACCCTATTTTATTTCTTAGGTATATCTTCCAACTATATTTAAAAAAATCTCTACCTCTTAGTAATTAACAAATTAACATTCCCTATTAAAATGTAGAAAAAAAATTCATTAGTAAGTACGATCTCAAAAATAATTAGTCCTCACAATATTAAAACTAAAAGAAGGTCACTGATTCAGCGGGCAACACTGACAATATAAGCCGTGTATATTTAGCGAGGTGTTGGTATGTTTAATATTTCTCAGCTCAGCGAACTCGAATCACGGAATGAGACATTGACGGCTAAGCACAACTCCTTCATAATTTTACATAGCACATCGCAGACATTAATTAGAGAGGACTAAAAGAGCATTAGCACCAAGCTCACTGCCTGCGGTGTTGGGGTAAATTGGATGCCTTTTGAATGTAACGAAATCCTCAGGTTAATTCCGTTTTTTAAATTATTAGGACGGTCTTAATCCTACGTTGATACGCTGTGTTTACAAGGAATTTGCAACAGAAATGAGAGGACAATGCCCTAAGATTAAAAGTACAATATAATGGCTTAAATATTTATTTATATGACTAATTATCCTTATAGGAGTTGTCATTTACATACTAAAACGTATTGATGGTGGTGTTTATATAACTTTTACTGTTTATTATAAGTACATACTCTTTATCTTTGTAAATATAAAATGCAATACTTAAAATTCCAAACATGACTGGGGACGCCATCTATTGGCATAAAATGTAATGTTGTGGTTAATGTTCACTTCTGTTTATGTGCTAATGTTCACTTCTAAACATTTTTTAGAAAGTTAGTAATGTATATTGCGAAGTTTTTACTATTAATGAGTGAGAATATAAATGCTTCACAAAAAGTTGATGCAATGCAATGTTATTTTTGGTGATTCCATAGTGGCTTGGATTCCCTTGGCGCAGGTTTAATTCTCACTTTTCCATTACTTCGTGACCGATTGTAATGTGACATACGATAGCTAGACAATCAAGAATTAAGCAACAAAATAAAAAAAAAGCGCTTAAAAATATTAAAATTCAGAACACAAGTTTAAGACAATAATGTAGACGTATGTTGGTATTTTATTTATAAACTTTTCATTTTATCACTTCACATTGAAAATTGATTGAAATAATAATATAAGATATTTTATCTCTTAATAATAATATCTTAGTAATTCTTAACGTTAAAATAAAATTGACCCACCCAACTACTAGTAGACTCATACTAGTGACCATTTAGTTTGTGTAAAATAAGTTTAATGTCTGAAGTCTATTAAAATACCTGATCCAGACAAACTATCACAATTATTAATTTGGATTATTTAACTTTTCTTTAAAGTGTATATTTTTGTAATATTTTACACCAGTTTAATTATTTATATTAAAGCAGTAAAAATATTTTCTATACAGTACCTAAATCACTGAACTTCATTGAAATTATAAACACAGCTTTATATCTAGCACCTGATAAAATACATTATTACCGAACTAAAACACTAAAATTATAATGCCTGGTACTTAATGAATAGTTTTTATAAATTGTCAAAATATGAGAAATAGAATCGAAATTTTGGACTGTCATTTCATCTGAGTGTCATGTTACAAATGATAGGTTTAGTGAAAGAGATATACAAAAACCACATTTGCTTCTCAAGATTTTAATTTCCTCAACAACTGCTAAATATGAGGAATGTTCTACAAATAAAATCACTTGTAATTTAAAAAGTTTTTATTTGGTATAATGCTGGAATGCAATTTATTTAAATGCTTAGTAATATACTGTCCAGCCACAAATAATAAATGTTCAGCTTATTTAGTAATAGTATACAAAATTAAAGAAAAAAACATTGAATTTGATGCACAGAATCATAATTATTAAGTGGTATATAATTGCCTACTCATTACAAAGTTATAAACTTATATATTATTTGAATTAGTCAATTCAAAATAACTTTATATTGCCAATACTGATGATAATAAAGAAAAAATTATGTCATGGTTCCGAAAACGGGATTGTGCCGGCAAATACTAGGACCATACTCCATGTATGCCTGTTTGGTGTGGCAAACTTGATAGAATTCTGGTGTTGAACCCAACATACTTCCACCAAACCACACTGCATATCTTTGCATGTTGTGAGAAATTACTTGGACATCAATCGGCTTTGGCGTAATACGCCCCTCGGACAACATAGTTGATAGTTTTAATCTAGCATCCACTGTACGCTTGATGTCTCGCTGAAGTCTCCTGCCAAAGTCTCTAAACATAGTTGAACCGCCAGACAAAACAATATTACCATATAATCCTCTACGAACATCAATTGGGCAACTTTGAATTACCTCATCAACCATTTCATTTAAAGGTACAGTAAAATCTGCATTAGAAAACTCGGGATGGAAGAAAATTTCAGGACCTAGAAATCTTTCATAACCAACATCAACTGAAAATGGGTTTTTAGTGATTGCATTTATACCAGTATACTTTTTCATCCATTTTCCGGGATCTGAATCATACTTAGCAAATTCCTTTGCAATATCTGGACAAATATAACTATATCTTTCCTTAATAGCTTTTGCAGTCTCTAAGCTTTGCTCAGGAGGGATGCCTACTTCACGTTCTCGTAGGAGTGATTGGATAAATGAAGTGATATTTCTCCCCGCTATGGGGATATGCTTAATACAGGATCCAATAACATAACCCTCAGCTACAGGCACAATATGTGTTACACCATCACCACTGTCCACAACAATTCCGGTAAAAGTACGTCCCGCGGATGTACGCGACTTCCATGAAGCAGCAAGAGCGAGAACGGCTTGAACAGCGATATACAGTCCCGGAACATTGAATGACTCAAACATTATCTCGGCCAAATATTCTCTGTTTTCCGGCGTGTTTAACGGAGGTTCGGTAATCAAAAAATGATGATCTTCTGGTTCGGCACGCAAATATTTAAAGATACATTGTTCAATGTACCTTTCCATAAGATCCCAGTCCTCAACTAGACCGTGACGAACAGGATATTTCACTGAATATCCAGTCGCTTCGAATGCTTCATCGCCGATGAAAAAATCTAAATCCTCCACTGCCTTAGTCATACGTCTAGTACTTTGGTCACCAACTTTAGCAGTTTCTTTTATCGCTATGGCTGACGGGATGATAAACTGCGGTTCCTTGTTACCAGCGAAACCTAATTTTGTGTACCCAGTTCCCACATCTATAACACAAGCTGGTAGATTATTATCCATTTTTGATAAATATTATTTACTTCAGATATATAAAATAATTATATGGGTGCGGCAAAGTTTCACAGTTTTGACGTGGGAGAACAACATGAAAATGTCAAACACATTAGGATGTCAGATGCGGTTTGTGATTCATATCACGTTCCATTCATAATATTTTCAGTAATTCAGGAGAAATGAAAACTTAACAAAATATTTTTTTATTTATAACGCAATATAGATTTTGTTAAAAATATAATCTAGTTAAAGCTAATTTGAATGTAAAAATACATTGAAATACCTATATACTTACATAAAAATTATCCCTCTGTGTAACAACAATCCAGTATAATTATTATACGTTAGTGTTTTTTAAATGTAAAAACTAGGTACCTGCCCCAGCTTCGTTGGGTTACCTTACTAAAATTATAAAATAGCCTATATTGCACACAATGCGTTCAGTACTTACTTTTTGACTTTAATCAAGACAAAAATTTCATCATCATTATTCGTTAAACATAAAAAAGTTTGAACTTAGAAAAACAGTATAGTTTTGTTAATAATAGTTTTTAATGTAAAATAACAACAAAAAAATGTATACAGCATTAAAGACGTGATCATGTGAAAACCGCTTGATAATTGATGCAGTAGTTTTTCTGTTTATTCCGAACAGAAAGACAGACAGACGAGGCGGGGGACTTTGTTTTATAATATATATTGATTATTGAACAATGGCATGTTTTTTTATTACTTTGTTGCTTTTAGTCGTCTACCAACTTATTTAAGCTCCAACTTCTTTGAGAAACACTTATATTTTTAATTCCGTACTGTTAAATAAGTGACCTCTAAAATACATTAGTATTTTGGATCAAAAAGTAGATTTAACTATCATCTTGTAGAAATATTTTGTGTTGAACCAATTGCTTAAGGGCATATAAAATAAAAGAGTCCATAAAGCAGGTAGTGACATTTTATTGTGACCGGTAATACTAAATTTAACATATTATTTACACAATATACATTGCAGGAATGTAACTACCATTTTAGCAATATTGGTGTCAATTTTTACTATTTTTAATCACAAAAAAATATATATATCCAAATACTAATCAAATATTTTCAAAATAATAGCATAATTTTTGTACTTTCATATGAATGAAAGTTACAAATAAAAAAATCTAATTTGTCAACATTTTATAATAAAAATAACAAGAATTTCAATAAGTGAACAACAGGCTTTATTTTTCGCCATTTTGAAATTGGAAATGAATTAAATATATAAGAATGGCAAAAATATTGTTTAAATTATCTTACTTTCAAATGATCTATATGAGAAAGTACACAAACTAATAGGTCATTGACCGTAAATACATGCATTGTATTAAAAAAATATTCACATCATTAATAAAACAATGCTTTTATGTATTAAAAATGAATAATAAACACAAACTATAATTTTCTAATATAATAAAAATTTTAAATAATCATTAATGGAGATTATTAGAACTTTGTATTTGAATATGTACTTAGCTGAAGATGAAAATATTATTGTAGTTATAAATTAATATATTTATGTTAATACAATGAATCATCTACACATGTAAAAAAATACAAATATACCTTTATATTTCTTTTACACTTAATTAAGTATTCTAAAACCAGCGAGTTAGTATAGACTTAAATAAATACGACATAATTTAACTATGATTACATAACCGACTCGTTACAGTGAAAGCAAAACATAAACCGTTCATATAATCAAAACACATATAATTTTCAATTAAAAATATCAGTATCAATATATCAGACTTAATTACGTACGGGTAGACATAACCACAACATTACTTATACAGCTGCGTGCAAAAGTATTAGGCACCCCTATTGTTAGTCACTATCTCATTATATTGCGGTCAAGTGTGTGTTTTATGGTTTAGCTATTGTATTAGCGGCAATTATTAACCAAATTAAGATAAAAGAAAATATTTATGACATCCAGGTGTGCTCCTAAGCGGTGTTTCTTCGAATTTGCTTTTTTTGCGTTTCGGGTTATAGTGTGTTATCAGTGCTTGCAGTGAACATACACGTCTTCTACGCAACTATTCCTATCACAATTCTAAAGACTAACATTTAACGTGTTAATCATGCCGAAAAAATCTGAACTTAGTGCTGAACAGCGTCTAAGAATTAAGATTTTACATGAACAAGGCATGTCTCAGGTTAAAATAGCCCGAGAAGTGAAGTGCTCGCGATGTGCAGTTCAATATGCTATAAATCGCTTCAAAGAGACTGGCATCCATGAAAATAGACCAAGAACAGGCAGAAGAAAAGTTACTACTGAACGGGAAGATCGATTGTTGATTAGGCAGTCTCTACAAAACAGGAAAAAAACTGCTTTAGAGCTCGCTGCAGCATTATCTGAGGCAAAAGGCAGCTCAGTGAGTGTTTATACTGTGAGAAGAAGACTTCTTAAAGCTGGATTAAAAGGATGTAAAGCAAGGAAGAAGCCGTAGCTGTCAGAACACAATAAGAAAAATCGGTTGGAGTGGGCACTCAAACATAGAGATTGGTCAGTGGAAGATTGGTCCAACATACTGCGGTCAGACGAATCTAACTTTGAGGTATTGTTATTTATTTTATGTGCAATATTAAAACACATAAATGTTTTTAAAATAACGTACTGCAAGAAAAATAATAACTTTGAAAATAAATGGGTTTTTTTCGTTTGGCATAGGTGTTTGGAACACCCGGTGTGACTTATGTTAGGCGAAGGGTTGGCGAAGAATACAACCCAGAATGTGTGGTTCCCACTGTTAAGCATGGTGGAGGCTCAATAATGATCTGGGGCTGCATGGCTGCCGACGGAGTGGGCGAAATGGTGTTGTGTGAGGGACGAATGAATAGTGTTAAATACACTGAAGTTCTGGAAACAGCACGAGCAACGTCGATAACGCAAATTTTTGGTGATACAAACACCGATGGCCTGAAATTTCAGCAAGACAACGCCACTTGCCACAAGTCCGCGCATACCATGAAGTGGTTTGCTGAAAATCATATTGATCTTTTGGACTGGCCACCACAATCACCAGACCTCAACCCGATTGAGCATATTTGGTCCATTTTAAAGAAAAATATCCGCAGGCACTCGATTAGCAATAAACAAGCTCTATTGGCCGCGTTACAGCAGGAATGGAAAAATATATCAAGAGAAGAATGTTTCAGGCTGGTAGAGTCAATGCCAAAAAAGAGTGGCTGCGGTTATTAAGTCAAAAGGTGGACCTACAAAATATTAATTATTTTCTTAAAATAAACCATTGAATTCATAAATGCAGTTTTATTTACACTCGCTATGCTAAAACACCCTAAAACTTGTCTTACTGTAGGGTGCCTAATACTTTTGCCCGTGGCTGTATATATCGTTCTCATTATTGTCACTGACAATACTTGGATCTCTCACCACATAGCATAGTCCGAATCATCCATATCAAAGATTGTGAAGAAACCTAAAATAGTCAGATAAACAATGACGTTGCCGGCCAATGTCAGATAACAAGCACCCCACATGATCTGGAAAATGAATTAAAATCAAATAAATTACTATATAAGTATGGAGGAAACTATTTGATGATGAAAAGTCAAAGATTAAGACGGAGTTAAAATAATCAAGATAATTAAGAATTAAAAATATACATTGAGATTAAAATTATATGTTTCAGGTTTAAATTGAATTATGAAAACTTATGTCAAGTATTTTGCTCCCATTTAATGGATAAGATAAATGAAGTATCTTGATATTATTTAACTTCAATAATAATATTTAAATTGTTAAATTCTAGTTTTTGTTTGGTACATAAAAATTAAAAAAATACTTGAAGTTAAATGAATTTTAAAGTTTATTTCATGATGCTATATGCAATTCTACCCAAAGGGATGACCAAGACCACTCTGTCAAGAGTGACACCGACTGAGAAGAATATGCAATTCATTTTTATATCTAATATAAATATAATATGTATATATATACCATAATTAATATTATTTTCTGCAGATTTTTTAGTCAAATATTTTACGATGAACACATTAAGGACATAATTCTTAATGAATTGATATAAATATATATTTCTTATAACACTTACTGCACCAGTTCTAGCCAGCACTATCGGCAGGGCAAATGAACTGACAAGGATTCCCATGGTTATAAAGATAGCTGTTTCCATACATGGTGAGTTTGTACCACCGGCTGTGTCCGTGTGACGTCTCGCTATCATTGTTGGTATGGGACATAGCACATAGAACAGAACCACAAAGAACGGCCACCAATACCTGCAATTTATATACTTTTAATATAAATAAGAGTTAAGTGTCTGTCGGTAATATTGAAAGAACTGTTTTTTGTTGTATATGTGTCTTTTTCTTCTTTTTTCTGGCAATTTCGAAGCTTTAGCCAGGGTCTGAAAAATGTTATGTATGTATATATATCAAAATAACATCTTTTAAGATTTTTGTGTCTGTCTCTTTGTTCAAAGCAATCTATGAAATGGTTAAACCGATTTTGATGATACTTTCATTGGCAGGTAGCTTATGTAACAAGGAGTAACTTTAACGTAACATTGTTTTTTTACACAGACGCCGCAGATAACAGCCAGTACATGTATGTATGTCTATATATTGCTTATTTAAATAATTAATGAGAAAGCACTGATGTTTCTTTTTAATTTTGTCTGCTTTAAAGATAATTTTAATTTCCATTTCTCCAATAGACACATGCATTAGTTTAATGTTTGGTATAAATTTATTCAATTACAAAATTTCCAAGGCCTCGGATGATTTGAAGGGAAAAAAAAAACTTTAAATAGAAATCTACCAATTAATTCTTTTTTATCGATTTATATTTATTATCTTTGTTAGAATATAAGTTATAAACCATTGAATTGTGCATCAAGTATGATTTAAAAATAAATGTTACATAATCTTTACTAACATGGTAATGAAGACAAAGAAACCTGTCCCATACAGTTTAATAAGGTTACATAAACTCTTCTTATAGGAATTATTTTACATACTTTAAAAATTTTGTAATATTTTCATTACTAAGTTTATAACTATATACTATAGATAAATGTCGTCAAACTATTGTTTTTATAGTTATTTTGAAGTATCTTTTCATACAAAGCTAATCTTGACCTTAATTCAAGTTTAATAAAAAATGATAATTTTGTATATACAGCAATAAAAAGGGTTTATTGAACTTATAGATATGATAAGTATCAATATCTTGTATGAGTTATTTGTTTTTGATGCAGAATAAAAAATTGTTTTTACTCTTCACTGAAATATAACATATAATAGTTCATTGAAAAAGTATGACGTGTTAATAAATCTTGTTTTAATAGTACATACATCAGGCAACTATAGAGATTTTTCAGACTCAATATTTTAAATATAAGAAACAATCATTAATATGGAGAATTTGTATATCAATATTACTTTCAATAACATTATTCTACAAAAATATATAAATTAATATGTAACAATGTTATTGAAGAATCAAGATTGTACATCGATCTTAGTGATGATTGAATTTGTTAAGAAACAAATTCAATCATAATATTTCATAAGATACCCTCATACTGTCATATAATGACTGACAAACTCTTTAATAGCCCTTATTATGTAATCAAAATATTTAATTCTAGAATATTCTTTTAGTATTCAGGATAATTCCACTTACTTATACTGTGGTAAGGCACAGGCTAGTATGACAAATGTCATACCAATAGAACCAGCAAAAGCCAGTGACACCAAACTGAAAATAATGAATAAAATGTATAAAGAACCATTCCATATTATTTATAATGTGTATCGAGTAATATTATTACTACCCTAATAATAATTTAATAATATTATCCATATAAAGATGTATTTTATGTTAAGTAAAATTTTGTATTACATATTAGAGAAATGGTGCAAGAAAAGAAAGTATATAATTATGATTATTAGGAGGGAAATGTACGTTTAACACATAATGCAATTAATTATATCAGTATCTTGTATTGATTTTATGTTTATTTTTCCTTTTCAAGCTTTAATAAAATTATTACTTACCCTGTAGACATTCCATGAGGAGTACATGTAAAATAAGAACAATTATTAATAAAAGTTTTTAATAAACTCACAAAAAACTGAGAGAATACTGTTTGTAAATATAACACCTTATGACTCATACGACAAAAAACCCCTAACATGGTTTTATTAAACTGAATTGCTTCTCACCTTTAATACCAGCCATTGTTTTTAATAAAAATTCAAAAATCTTCAACTTTATCTTACATCTAATAAATTAGGTTTTAGAAATATTAAAAACTTTCAGATTAATGAAGAAATTGGAAAAGTCACATGTACAGATAAATAATAGTTCATTGTACACGGTAGATAAAAAAGACAGTAACAAAGAACTAAAGTATGTGGCGATATATTGATTTAAATTTTTAAATGATATATTATAAATTGTAGGTTATTTAAAATCATTAATTTGAGAATTCTTAATCTTCTTTCTTCCCATTATAGAACAGAAGTAGGCTATGAATGTAGGAATACATGCTTTTATTTCTATAAACTACTATGGCAATAGTTGACTAAGGCTTATGGCTATGCATATGACAATACTAGCTCGGTTGGTTGACGTATGACATTCAAAGCATTGCTGTTGTTGTTATTTGAAGATCTCAAATAAACTTTAATTTTTTCGAATAAACGCTTGATTTTAATAGATTGCAATTAATACAAGAACACGGTATAAAAATTATTTAATATGGATGACGACGCCGAAACTTATAAACTGTGGCGAATTCGCAAAACCGTCATGCAGGTAACAAGAGGTTATGTATATGAAACAATCCCAAACTTCCTTTACTTGAGCATAGTGGCCTTTTAAAAAAATAATTGTATTGCACGTATATAGATTAAATAGATAGTTATCCCTAAATTTTACGATTATATAACTTTAGAAAATTATTCCTCTAATGGTTATTATTTTAATACAATGTGCTAATATAAGTATATAGTCTAACATAAACGGCACAACTTGCGAACTATTTGACTTAATAATTATTGAAGTATGATAATGTAGTGACCAATACTCTTTACAAAGCCTTAAATCACTTATGCACTTTATTTTTCCTTTATCTTAAACATTATAATTGATGGACCCAGCACCCGCTTGGTGAGTCCATGGAATGTTAAGAAGTTTCGTCTAAATAAATCATTGTAATTTCCTACACATATGTTTAATTATTATTTTATTTGTTGGAAGACTTATATTAATATTATTATTAATGTTTCAGCTATGTCATGATCGTGGCTATTTAGTAACTCAGGATGAATTGGATCAAACATTAGACCAATTTAAGGAACAATTTGGTGATAAACCAAGGTTTGTATAATTTTTATTCCCTTACAATTAGAAATTCTTAAACAACTATTAAAATTTATCTGTATTAAACAAGATCTATGAGTTTTATTAATATTTATTTAAATGAATTTACTATTTTCGGAATTACATACATATTATCTGTGATTACGGTCAGATAAGATTGTCTAAAATATAAATATGCATAGTAATCCAAAAATATTCATTCCGTTTATCTATATTTATATATTTCTATAACTATACATACTTCCATTCAATGTTTTTTTTTGCCTCAAAAACCTCCATGTAATTAAATATCATTATAAAATCCACTCAATATATTTAAACCTTACCCACATGTAACTTTGTTGTCTGTGAAAAATTCCTTTCAACAATATTCTTCTTAATTTTTTCATCTAAGATTTGCATGTTTATTATGTAAATAAAAATCTTCAAAGGAACTATTAATACTATTTTGATAATTTTGTATTTGACAGTTTCAATGTCACTTCTATTGTCATGTTATAAATATATAAACTTTTTAATAATATTTATTTTTAATTTTTATTACTTATTATTGTAAAAATCATAAAAATAAATAAATGAATGGCAAAACTACTGTTTTAATGACAAATCTAAAAAAATATTAATGAATAGTACATAATCTATTATTACTAGTAAATTATTTAATTCTCTAGTAATAGCAGTTAACAAAAATTTACATTTTTTAATTACATATTCATATTCAATATAATGTCATGCTTATACATAAAAAAGTCATATTCGCTAACCTAATATTTAATACCATTTTTGTTTTAATTTTAAAATATGTTTCAGTGACAAACGTCCAGCCAGAAGTGACCTTATAGTTCTTGTAGCCCACAACGATGATCCCACAGACCAAATGTTTGTGTTCTTTCCCGATGAAGCTAAAATTGGTATCAAAACTATCAAAACTTACTGTACAAGAATGCAGGAAGAGAATATACATAGAGCGATTGTAGTTGTTCAAGCAGGTATACATTTCTGTTCAAATAAAATGATATCGGGTTAAAAGTATTAGACAATCATACATATATGTATATAATCCAGAAGTAACTGAGTTTTTTTTAGTTTTCATGGGGAAATATATTCATTATGCTGCTAATATAACAGTTTCAATCCTCAGTAAAGAAAATTTTGCCAAAACATTTATAACTTGTAATTTTTACAGGAATGACACCATCAGCCAAACAGTCATTAGTGGATATGGCTCCGAAGTATATTTTGGAACAATTCCTGGAATCCGAGCTTTTAATCAATATAACAGAACATGAATTGGTTCCAGAGCATATTGTTTTGACACCTGATGAGAAGCAGGAATTGTTGGCTAGATAGTATCCTTTTTAAATGATTGTGAATGATTTTTTGTTTTCGTATGTAGGTATTTAATGCTAAAGGGGTTGTAAATTTGATGTTGATGTCTGTGTGTCAATGTTTGTTTGTGTGGCATCATAGCTCTCAAATGGATTGACCAATTCCGATGCAGTTTTATTCATATATAAGCCAGTTTATTTATAGAATAACTGAGCTAAGTCTGGTCAATATTATGTGTATAGCTGTGTAAGAGTTCTATTGCGAAATAAAACAAGACATTTTTTTCTATTACTATTTCATTAAGTGCCACGCGAGTGCCATTAAAAAAAATTAGATAACAGTTATTGCCAAGGGCCTTTTTTATTTAAAATTAACTTATTTATTTTCAATAACATTTCGGAATTTAATAGACCTCTTTTTTAAGCTTCCAAATTTTTTTTATCAAAGTTAATTTGCCATTTTCTCTATATAAGCATGAGTAAAAGGTTATAGATATTTTTGTAATAATATTTCCTTAACCACTTCCCAGTAAATTAAAAGAAAACATGTTAATGAGAATACAAGCAGGGGATCCAGTGGCGAGATATTTTGGATTGAAGAGAGGACAGGTTGGTTAAAAACACGAACTATATTATTACAACACATTCATCCACATTCACGATACAGGCCTAGCCTAGTGTGGACGTCAACAGCTTTTGTAAATTAAATTGTAAAGTATATTACGAAATAATTAACTTAGAATAAATATTATAAACAAGGACTTATAATGTTACAAAAGTATGACACATTTCGGTCATCTTCTATCTTCTATATATATAAAAATGGATTGCTGTTCCTTAGTCTCGCTAAAACTCGAGAACAGCTGAACGGATTTATCTTATCTTAGTCTTGAAATGTTCGTGGAGGTTCAGAGAAGGTATAAAAGCTGAAAAAAATTGATTCTTTACTGGGAAAACCATAAAAACAGCCCTTTTCTATTTCCCATACAAACGTTTTTTTTTTGACATTAGATTTGACAATTAACTAATATGTCAATCATTCTGTCGCACTTCAAAACACGGAGATTTATGGCTTTAATAGGTAAACTCCAAAAATATAAATAAAAAAACGTAATAGATATTTCTTGATTATAGGGCGATACGAAGTTCGCCAGGTCTTCTAGTTTTGAATAAAATTATAAAACATCTCTATTCAAATATGTATAAAATACATGTAAAGTGTATATTTTCCCGCTATATTATATCGTTCGAAGTAATTCTATTGTTTTTGCTGATTTTATAAAGAAGTCAATTAATGAATTCAATCCTATTTGCATCTTTCTTAAAGTTGAATGTGGTACACCTTATGTCTAAGAACAATTAGTTTGGCTAGCTATAGACGAGATAATAGTGATTCTGTTAGGCCGATATTCATGAGATTTCAAGCAGATCATATATATTATTATAAAAAAATAATATAACATCCTCATTTATTCTCATAGTATCAAGGAACCACTTTATAAAGTACTTTATTTAAAATGTATCTTAAATTGAATATGGAAATTATCTTTTGGAAGCAAACAGTATTGTAAGAGTTTGAAATCTAAAGAGTCTTTTTGTTGCAGGTCGTCAAAATTATAAGATCTTCGGAAACAGCTGGGAGATATATATCATATAGATTAGTTTGTTAGTTATGATTACAATAAATTCCATTTTAATACTAATTTGTATTTTATTTCACTTCATTTGGTTCACATTTTTGCTACTTGTCATGTATCTCATTATAATCATTGTATCTAGAGATGCTCAGGTTTGTTACATAAAAAATATACTCACCTATAAATAAAAATAATATAAAGGACCATTGTGTAAAATGTAAAGCGAATTTTGTTTTCTAACTTCATCAAAATCTATTCAGGTTTTCAAATAAGCCTAGGAAAGTACATTACATTGGGTAATATCTCTATGCGATTCTTTTTTATTTTTTACATATAAAAATATCAATATGATATGATGATATAATAGACTTTTAAAAAATGTATGTAAGAAAAAAGCAATATATTGTGTATTTCAAATTTTTGAGGGCCAATTTTCAGCTTTTTGTTATTTTTTTTAGAAGCTGAAATGAGAATAACAAAGTTTTCCTTTAATAAAACGCTATAATTTTACATGAAATCAAGTATATACATAATTATAGTGTCCTATTTTTTTACTCACTACCAAAACTGCGTTCCCGGTATTTCCCGTAGTGTATGGGTTTAATGCTTGAAACAATTTGTAGTCGCTAACAAACAAACAAAAGTTCTATATTTTATTCACTACCTAACTCTCGTTCCTGGTATACACTACGATTCAATAGTTTGGGACCACTTTTAAAAGTGTTTATCATGATCAAACCATTTCAAAAGTACAATTATAAAGTATTTTGAATACACTGTCGTTTTAAGGACGTAACCCAAAATTACCAATTAATACGAGACTGAAGAACTTTTTTTTAATAATAATTTTTTTCCACCTAGAAAAAAAAGAAAGAAAAGGCGATGACAAATTGAATAATGATGTGCCAAAAACCAAGCACAATTAGTGGTGGGTTCGTTGTGTTTATGCTTCTATTCTACCTTCATCAGTCACGGAACCAGAGTTCATGGGATTCGAAGAGATTATGAAAAAGAAAGAGTAAAAGTATTTCTACAGCAAATCTAAGTTACATATGCTTTCAGATTAATTGTCTAACAAGCGTATTTTAAAATATTTCAGCCTAAAGTAGATTTGTATTCAGTGTACCTAATGGAAATGTTTGCAGTAGTTGCCCTTGATTGACGATGATTGATTGATTGAAGATTGGTTTTTACCAAGGATTTACAAGAAAGTTGCAAAAATATTTTAATTTTTATTGATCCTATGTCGAGTATAAAAATCGCAACGTTTTGACTAAAAGTCTGTTTAAAATATAGACGGCAGTCCCAATATAAATGTTTGATATTTATTTTTTGCATTTCCTAAGGTATTTGTCTTAACAGATAATAATTTAAATTAATAATAATCAAACCTCTTGCCGAGTTTTTAGTTTTATTTTATTCTTTCCTATTTCGCTCTCAAACTTTTGGATGGATGTGTATATGTGAGTGATGGGATGTTTGTACACATGAAGCATTGTTGTGATCAATTCGAACTTGGTCACTACAATGCTTTGAGTTTCAGGATACCGTTTTCGCCTTAATATTTTGACCTGATGCTTCAGTTGAATAAACTAGCTATATCACGTTAATGTAAAAGCATCCGTATAGTGTTGGCATTAATTAAAATTTGACCCGAAATCATAACGATCCAATAAGTCCACCAACAAGTGTTTTTTTAACATTTTTTCTTAAACATTTTGATTTTATGGCTAGTTTGTACTGCAGATTTTTAAGCTGAATTTAATCACACGTTTAGATATTTACTCAGACACCATTAGAAAACAATTAATATTTTTTTTATTATTTGTTTATCGAAAAAGTTTTCAATGGGTCCAAAAATAAATATAAATTCAATTCATACATTCCATAAAAAATTACTTGGGAGAGCACTAGTCTTCTATTTAAATCTTTCACTGTATTAAATATAGAGCTAAGTTATTATGTCTTGAATTTTCTTCTTATTCCTTCTGATATCTTATTACTGTTTCCAAGTTTATAATGAGAATGTACAACAAAAAAACACAAGTTCGTCGTTTTCTTAAGACCCCATTTTAGATTTAGAAAAATGAATTAACTAACATGAATTTCACCTCCAAAGTGTAGATATTCATAATTTGACCTAAATAAGTCAATGGAAACTACTTCTAAATGGTTTAAGATTGTTGCATGATATACTCAAAACATACCAACAATCATTTCGTACTTATAACATTTAAATATAACATAAAAAGCTTATATAAATATTATTACAATAATTGTTAACAATGGAAAAGGTATCGAAAGTAGTTCAATTTTTTTTTCGTAGTCTTAAAAACGAAAGTTACAATAAACAGTCTTAAATATTTTAGTTTATTCATTTTTAAAATTATTTCCCGTCATCCTCTGTCAAGGTGTTTTTTGATAAAATATATTCGCCAACACAATGGATAAAACTATTAACATTATGGTATCAAAATAGGAGACTCGTTTACCTAGTCGCAAGAGAAAAAATATACTGTAACAAAATAATAAGAATGTGATGCTTTTGTATAATAGCAATAGCATGTAAAATATTCTCATTCTAAACATAGTTTTAACTAAACGAATTAATTTCGAAAAGATCTGATATTATAAATATTAGTTGTATCTATTTCACCACAAAATCTTTAAACAACGATGTCAATAACCAAATTGTATCAAATTATAAATAAAATGCCGTCACCGTTATCACGACCGCAACAATTGATGATTCCAGTAAACTATAACTTTCGTAAAATACCATAATATTAATATGTAACGCTAAAACAGTTTACACTTGAAGGCGCGCATGCGCAGAGCGTTTCAAACGGCGCAAGCGCATCGCAACCAGCGCACGTTGAGAAATTCGCGATATTGCAATAACAGAATCATTTTTTTTGTTTTGTTACTTTAAAAAAAAAATTGTTATGGATATTATCGTGCTAGTGAAATATATACGTTACAATTTTTATATGGAATTTTATAAATTTTATCCGGGTAAGTTTATTTTTTGTTACAATTTTTCTTAAAAACATATTGAGAGCTCATAAATAATACATATGGAAATATTAACCGGTCATTCAATCCATCTTTTCAAGTGGCGTGTATCATTATTTTCGATTAGCGTATAATTTGAAAGAGACGTGTTTGTAAATTTGACGGTAAGGCACGTTTACCGCGTTAATCAGTAGGCAGCACTGCTGCTACTACATATAAGTAATTTTTTTTATGCTATGGAAAGGCATATAATAAAAAATGATATGAAAAATAGTTTTCTAAATAAAGTATTTGTCTATGGTTCCTACATAATTTAGTGTAAAAATATTTTTATTTCATTAAGAATAAAATATATAAAAGAATTTAGAAACAGTTGTAAGTCGGCTTTATTTAAGCTAATTATAAATGGTTTTATCATATATTTATTTCACTTAAATGTTTTTAAGTAACAGGAAACATTAATTATTATGAAAAAAATACATAACTTAGTTGTTTTAACGTTGAACTGATAATTACGTCTGGTTATTGCCTAAGACGTTACAGGAGAAACCGTTCAATTGATTAATTTGAAATTGTGTACGTAAGCGGTTCCAACTGCTATAATTACAGGAATCTATTAAGGAAGAACAATTTTCAATTTTGTTCTACCTGAAGTATTAATGAAAATATCTGTCATAATATTATATGTGGAATTTATATTAATATATAACCTTATTTTAATCCTCTTTGAAAGTAAGGTGCTAACTTTAGTACTGGCCTTTAACGTCACATACCTTCATACTGATAATTTATGAATCAAAAAATTGAGAAGCAAATTCGTGCTGAGTGTACTAGTGGTGACATTGATAGATTTTCCCGTGATGGAGAGGTTAAAGGTTGTAAACCATGACTTTCTTGTAGAAAACTGCTTTGATATAAAGTAAGACGTGCTATCAACTCAATTAAAACAAGAAATTTTTAATAACTATTATTCTTGATCGGTCTATCACGGAATTCAAGTTAGAAAGTTGAAAAGTCGTGACGATTCGACTGTTTACATATTTAAATGAGACCGGTCTGAAGGCTGTAATTAGGAAAGATTCTCAGCTTTTAAATACATTTGTAAAGTGTCTAAATTAGAGATACAGAAATAGGTGTTATAAGTAATATAACATACAAATATTTTAATGATAAAGTACATTATGTAGCTATGTATTATTATTTTGATACAAATATACATTTTTGATGTTTATTATATAAACAAGAATCTCTGGGAAACCCACGATTAACACTGAGGATTTTTTATTTATATCAGAATTCAGAAGTCATGTAAACTTCTTTAAGTTTTTTTTATAAATATTACACAATAAATAAATTAAAAGTTATGATATATTATCTGTGCAGGACATTGATTAATGACAGTTCTTTATAATCTATGTAAATAATATAAATGTCTAAAGCGTAAGTTATTGAAATATTCAGATATTTTAAAGAAATAAGTTGTTTTTCGAGCTTTGCTAACGGTCATGCCTGATTTATCAGACGTCTGCGAGTTTATAATTACAATAATTAAATATCTTTTAAGAGTTATTCGATACGTTTCTGTTTCTTACGGTATACTTTTAAAAATTATACGGTCATGTAGATACGAAATGATAACTTGTAATATATTTAAAGGATCGAATATTCTAAATACTTATAAAAAAAATGAGAAATTGTACGAAACTAAGTAAGTAGGTTTTATTGTAATTTTGTTTAGATGTTTGTTTAAGGTATGCTTGTTCTAAAATTATTCAACTTAGATTTGTTTAATTTTTACGCATAGAGCGTACGTGGGTTATAGGTATTTATCGAAATTTGGTTATAATAATTCTATACCATATTTTGCTATATGGGTATATTACATATAGTATAGGATCTAATATTAGTAAACATAGGAAAGTAGGGCAATTAGCAAGTGATGAGAAGCCAATTGTTTTTTTAAATATTTTTTATATGCCAATTGGTTAGTTATATACAGGGTGACTGGTGAATTACTA